GGTTGCTTGAGGTCATTGTCAGTCATCTAGAACTTGTCTGACAAACTAATGGGAAAGCAACTGAATAACAATAAAAACACAACTTAAACCTAAAGTTGCTTTTGATTCAGTTTATAAAATATTTTCTCCAGTTTTCTCTAAATATATTCTCCAGACAACAGAGGTCAATGGGCCAGATATTCCAGAATTTTCTGTGAAATTCTAGTCTTTTCACAGATCATATTTTACTGATTGCAATGCTACAACTCTGAGGAAGATTTTGAGTTTGCTTTTCAGAAATGGTAAATTTATTACCTGAACAGAAGTCTGTTGGCACAATTAGCTTCCTGCACAAATGTTTTCTCTCTTTGTGCAGGATATTGTTCATGGGTTCATCTTCTCTGCTTCTCATCATCTGTTGCCATGGCAATGAATCAGCTGAATAGCCTACATATACATACAAGACTTTTTTGGGGAAAAAAAAGGTGGAGCATTTTACTCTTTGCTCTCTGAATAAAAAAGAACACTTACATAAATGACTTGTAACAGGGACTGGTGATAGATTACTGTCAGTTTTTACAGACTCGTAAATAATCATAAAAACATGTTTATTTTGTTCTGTAATGAAATATGAGCTTCATAACATGAGGTAACGAGGGAAAAACTTCAGTGTTCACCTGCTGACCTTTTCTATAAAGTACAAGAACATAAAATAATAAAAATAATATATCCTTCTGTAACCTTTTTCTACTTTCATCTGACCCTAAATTCAGCTTCTTTGTGAACTTCCAAGAGTAAAAAAAAAAATCAATAATCACAAAGATGATTTTTTTTAGGTTTATTCTCTTTAGAGAATAAAACGACAATGTTATAAAGACAGGATATAAAGTCTAAAATTGACTCAACACTGCCTTCTTTTTAAAATTGTTTGGTTTAGTTGCAAATTTGCAGTGGTGGGTGCAGTTCCCCTAAAGCACTAAATTACTAATAGGGGAACTAATTTCTTGATTAGTGCTTTAGGACTTTAGCTATTTTTTTTTAATTCATCAGTGGATTAGCACTAAATTCATGGGCTAAATTTAGAAGCACTAACTGAGGTCTTTAAATGTTGTTGATCAGCATTACTATGAAAGCTGTCATACATTTTGTTCACATGTGTGTCACTTATTTACAAGATCATGTGTCAAACTCGAGGCCCGCAGGCCAAATGTGGCCTGTGAGTCCCATTTGGCCCGCCAAGGGCACTAAGTGACAATATGTTGCACACAGTAAATATTGTTTCTTGTTGACTCTGAAGAACGTTTTATGCATCAACTGGATTATTTTTAGTGCTTTGGAATTATCCATCCATCCATTATCTATACCAGTTTATTCCTTTATAGGGTCACTGGTGCCCATATCCAGCAGCCACAGTACGAGGGGCGGGGTACACCCTGGACATATTGCAAGTCCATCACAGGACCACACGTGAGACAAACGAGACAAACAACCATTCACTCTCTCACTCACAGCTAGGGACAATGTAGAGTTACCAGTTAACCTAACAGTCATGTTTTTGGTGTGTGAGAGGAAGCCGGAGTACCCGGACAGAACATGCAAACTCTACCCAGAAAGGAAAATTAGCTTTGCTAAATTTTTCAGTGCATTAGTGCTTTAGAATTAGGGGACCTAAATATGTGAGTTAGTGCTTTAGGGTTAGTGCAAACATTTCGATTGGTGCTACCCACCACTGTGAATTTAGGATCAACCTACCTCATACTCCGTCAAGATAAAAAAAAAAAACATTGCTTGAAATCCTACTTCCTGCTAATTCCAAGAAAAAAAATCCAACAGAATCACGTTGAAAGCGTGATTTCCGACGGCAAGTGAATGCATCATAAACTCCCCTCTCGTCCCGTGGTCAGTGAACACAGCGGGAGGGAGGGGGGAGAGGAGAAGGAAGCAGAACTTCAGAGAGTAGAGATGCTCTGAACACTGACAGCCTGATGCCTGGTTGAGTGCTTTAAACAGTCGGTTCCGACCCAGAGGAAGGTTCTGATTCCACGTGGGTTTGAAGTTGGACACTTGGCTGTACAGGTGAGGACCTGGATCACCTGGACCAGATGGACCCTCTGCTGCCCGCAGACCCGGACATGATGGAGCGAGAGTCTGACCAGGAGGCGAGGAAGAAGATCCAGTTCTCCGTCCCATCGCCGGTGGCTCTGCAGCTGGACCCGCGACAGGTGGAGCTGGTGAGTGTAATTGTATGGCAGGCCGGTGGTACATATAATCAAACAACTCACCTATCTCTGATTAGCTACTTCCCTAAATAATAMTAACTCTCCTTAAGAAAGGAGTGTCTTATTGTATAATCTGATATAAAAATTAAATATATATCATTCATATACCAATTTAATTGTTTAATTTAATAATTATATTTTAAAGCCTAACTATGACTCAGTTCATATGACTAAAAAAGAAAAATTCCAAAAGTAGAATTTGCTTTTTTAATTAACATTTCACAAATCCTGAAAGTCATATAAATAACATCATGTTTCACATTCATGTTTTATCTCCAAAACAGCTAAAAGCCTCACCTACATATTGATCATCATTATTGTAGATCTTTAAAATCACAGTTTTTGCAATAAATAAATCCATATTTTATAAGTTTATACTAGCTACGTTTCATCCAATTGTAATGTGAATGTTGTGTGAACTTTTAAAATGTCACGAAAATAAAAGAAAGAGAAAGAAAGAAAGAAAGAAAGAAAGAAAGAAAGAAAGAAAGAAAAAGAAAGAAATGCTAATTAGGAGGTTGCAAGGACCGCACATCTTGGAACAATGGAGAGAAGTTGTCGGGAATACCACATTGTTGGTCAAGTTGTAATTGTTCTGTCGTATCAGTTGGTATTTTTGATGTTCCCTGCTGTCCGGAGACGTAGAGTAAGAAATGTTATTCTTATGGGAATATCCAGGAAGATGCTGACAGCAGATGCAGCTGATCAACCATGTGAGATAAACATTCGCAATGACAGAACTTATTCAGTACATGTGTTTCCATCTCCTCTTTTGTGCATTAGCTCTTTTTTTCTTTTAAATCCAAAAACATAAAAACCTTATTGTGAAATTAAGAAAGTTTTTTTTCGAATTTTGCCATTTTCACAAACCTCTTTAATGCGACATACTTCAAAATGTGCGTAAGTTGATGGAAATGCAGCTAATGTAGCTGTTACTAGCCGTATTTAAGTAGTTGTCTTTTTGCTCATGTTTTTCAAATCTTACAACGCTAAGTTATACTATTTAACAATGACTTGATAAATCTGAAATGCTGTTTGACACATTTTCTTACTATTATGTGATGTAATTGCTTGCCATACAGGCCCTCTAATGATGGTTATATTGTTGGGCAGGGAGGTCAAACCTGGGTCATAAAGCTTGTGTAATTTGCTCACAGTGTTTTTTTATTTAACCTTTTTTTTTTTTTACTTCATTTTGATTATGGACTCCCAGAAATACATGAAACTTTCACCCAAAAAAGCAAGAGCTGCTTTCCACTGCGCTGTCTAAATCATGACTCTTTGCCAATGAGGTTAAAAAACAATTACATAACTATCAGGCAAGACCTCACAGAGCTCTGTTTGTGGTTTTTGCTGTTGCCCATTCCTCTGTGGGCAGCTGAGCAGAGCAGCTCTGGGATTAAGCTGAGCTGTGCTGCTTTAGTTTTTTGGAGCCTTTAAAAGTAATGAGGAATCTCTGCCCTTCGAAGGGACAGAGGAGGACGAGGAAGTGAGGGATAAAGCTCCATCTGAGCCTGAGCAATAAAAACAAACCACACACATGAAGCCAAAAAAAGGAAGGTCACATTATTACTCACATATAAGGAGGAGGTGGTTTGTGTGTGTGTGTGTGTGTTATGTAAAATATAACCTCGGGGTGAATCAACCAAAAAGCAAGTGCAGCTGAGAGAAAATCTGTGTGGTGGGAGTGGAGATTTCCTTGCAGATGTGTGGGAATTTGGTGGGAATGAAAATGAGATCATGTTTGGACACAAAACGTCCGCGGTAACGCTGAAGGTTTATCCGTTTCCTCCTTTCTWAATCCCATCCTGCTTCACGAAGGGAAATCCAGAAAAAAAMAAACAAAACCTTTGTTTCTCCACAACATCAGGAAATGTTCAAGATTTTCTGTCCTGGACTGAAAAGAATAAACTAATAAATCAATCACTGTCAGATTTGTTTCACATATCTGCTCACTTGTCGCCCTTTGAGTTTAGGAGCATTTCTTCCTTTACTTTTCTAAATGACTGAAATAAAGCAGCTTCCACTTCTCTCTCATCTATGGAAACTTGTTAATTCTTCTTTACCCAGCTAAGGCTCTCATGCTGCAGGGTAATCTTTTATTGCTTCTTCCACACACGTTTCCACAAGAGCTCAATGAGAATCTGAGTTAAGTCTGTTATATTTTATTTTTATTTTTTTAAGGAAGCTGTTCTGTTAGTTTATCATCTGGTTTTTAATTATGCTTCTTGTTTTTTTACTTCCTTATTTAGATTGTTTGCACTTTGTCTTTTGATGTCTTGTTTGCATGTTTTCTAATTGATTTAGTTCTCCGACTTGTTTCTTGGGAGACCTGATTGCCATCACCTGCACTTCATTAAATATTCTCCAGGGCCACCATTATTTCACGATTCACTGACTCAGTTCTCCTTGTTTTTCACCCCGATAAGCCTTGTTGTGTCCTGTTTTTTTTTACTTTACCTCCTGTCTACTTCTTGCATATATTCAGAAGCTAATGATAGCAAACTCTGAAATATAAAACATTTAACCTTTTAAAATTAGMAGAAAAAAGGTTGATGCTGTTTCAAACATCCAGAAATCCAACAAATCTATCCTGAATTCAGCCACAAATGAGTTTTATAATCCATAGGTACCCTGCATGACAAAACCCACTCTATTTATTCTCACCAAACCACAATCAAATACATGTTTAGTGTCACATGAGATGAGAATCAGAGGAACATAATCACCCAAGGAGGCAACAGATTAAAATGAAACAGAGATTAGCTGTGGACGATGGAGACTAGAATCAAAGACAGTTCAAGCCAAGAAGAACATCCAAGAGCTCTGAACTACCAGAGTCTTTCTCAGCAGTGCAGTGTCTGTTTCTCATTATTTTACACTTAGAAATGTGACAAAACATTGGTTTGATTATTAGTTTTAAAATGCCAGATAAGATCAAATGAAAGATGTTAACGTCAGTGTCTGTGTTTACTGTTGGGTTTTGCTGTGTTCTGTTCTTCTGAGCTTCCTGTTGTCATCGGTTCAGTTTAGTCCTGCCACCCACACCTGTTCTCTGTCTCTTTAGGTTCAGCTGTTTCCCACATCCTGTTCTGCCTCAGTCCATAAGGTTCCTCAGTGGAGCATTATGTATTGTTATGCCAGGTCCAGTTTCCTCACTGTGCCTCCTCCAGATCAATCCCTCAGTTTTTGTTGTTTCTGCTGCCATCTTGATTTGATTTGATTTATTGATTTAACAGGAAAAGATTACTAAAAATCAAGCCTGACTCAGCATAATTGCTGTTTTACAGCAGGTTCCTGTTCTGCAGCACATAAAACACTCAGAATTACAGCATCACAATCACATCGTTATACACCATAGACACAAAGACAAACAAGCATAACAATTGTGCCATATTATGGTACCATAATA